TGTGTAGAAGAATGCGTCAGACTGAACATTCCAGTAAAATCAAACCATTGCGTAATACGAAGAAACCACCTACTTTCGGGGAGTCGGACCTTGAACTTGCTATATTCCCAGACGCTTCGCCCTCATCGTAGTCGGCATATTACTTGCTTATTTAAACCTAGTTCTGGTATAATCTTTTGAGTGGATTTAGAAAGATCTACTCACACAGGCTCACTCATTTCCTCCATACTGGCTTGGGAATGCTGATCCGAGTTTGCCCCAATATTCCGCCATCATCTTCCTCCAGGTCCCATCAGAGTCTTCTTCTTGCCCCGTAGGAACCGTCTCTTATCTTCCTGGTTCTGTTATTTCGCTCGATCTCTTCCACCATATGCATGCTACTCGAGGTGTTATATTGTATACTCTGTCTTAAGCCATTGATATCACATATACTTCAGCCTGCCTAAGCAGGCCCCAAACGTCTGGTCTCCTAAGCTGAATGGAAAACTAACTTGAGGCTGTAAATCTACACATCACAGTTCGGCATGTGAACCTTGAAAATCTCGTGGTCATGCCTTTACTTCACGGACCATGTCTATCATCAAACACGTCTGCAGTTGGCCAACTATGTCTTGTCTAGGCCACATCTCTTGTGCTTCTATCCATAATACCAAGTCTATGACCTTCCTATGGTCTAGTCTTTTGTGTGCCAACCCTCAAATGTTGGGGTTCTACTTGGTTTGATTAGGTTCAATGTAGACGTCTACTCTCGACTTTCTATTCTTTATCTGTGGTAGCCTTGTGATTTCATTTTTTCCAAGTTTAAAATATTTCCTTGATCTAGTCGTCTTCCTTTTTCCTGATCTTGCTGCCTCTTGATCTCCTACGAGTTTGCTCAAACAATATGCAAATTTTACGCTGATTTTGCCTTCTTCCAGTATCCTGTTCATTAGATTTCTTTCAGTCTGGATATTGGTTGCCTCTCGGATCTTGCGTCTTTTTTGTATTTTCACCATATATGGCAAGCCGTTCTGCCATTTCGAATCTTTCGGTAACCATGTTTCTGCAGAACCTTTGATATTCCTTAATTCGTAAGTTGATTTTCCCTACTGCTTCACTAACCCACTTCTGCTTGCGGTTGCAGTATTTGATTCGACAAACTTCCGTGCAATCCAGTTTGTCAACTTTCTCATGCTGCGTCGGAAGGCTGGTGAAAAGTGGTGTCATTTCCTTTGTTACCATCTGGATATTCCATTTTCTTAATAGAGATCTCAATTTTTCACTCTGTTCACAACAGGGCAGTCATATCCACTGTCAATCGTCCCCCTGATTCTAGATTATATTTTTATAGAATCTAAGTTAATATAATTGCTTTCTCTGGAGTACACTTTACCAAGGGATATCCGAGTCACTTAGTCAAACTTCTCGTCCCAGAACCCAGTGCCCGTTGGCCATAAGCTTCTGGTGATCTATATCCTAATTATTCCGATCTTCAGTCTGTAGCTGTTATGAAACGGGAAATTGATGTTAATTTCAGAATCTTCTATTAAGTATGTACGTTGGAGCCAACGACCTCAGCATATAGGAATTTGGATCGCTCAGTTTCTCCATTTCTTTCAAAAATGTTGGTTCATTAAATTGACGAATTCATCCTAATTTTACTTGTCATGCGACCAAAGTGCGAGGTAGTCATCCAGGCACCGAATATACACTCTTGGTTGCAGCTGTGACTTCAGACATTTCTTTTCCAATTTGGGGTGAGAGTGGAGATCCCAACGGTAGTCTAACTATTTGCTCAAAGACATTGCAGTCGAATGTAAAATACGTGGCCCTTGCCGTCAAGATGATGAATCGTGTTAACGATTCCTTCCGTATCCGGTCTCCTTCCAGGATATCCTCCTCTCGTTTCAAGATCTCCAGCAGGGCACTAACCGCCTTCTCGTGTGAGGTCTTTGTGTGCATGGATTGTACGTCAAAACATGGCAAAACTTCTGTACCCGCCGATCCAATGTTTTGGATCCTTTGTTAAAATTCATATGACTCGGAGTCTGTCACTTAATTTCTTGAGCTTCAAACATATGCTGTAGCTCCATGCTTGTTGTTAACTCTCAATCTTGGCAGCTTACCTTCCTGGTGTACCTTTGCTGGTCTTAGAGCATGTTAAATTAAGGAATGCATCATTTATCCATCGAACCTCCATTTGCATATCCTTAATTATTTCTTTGATATTCATGGTTGGATACATTATTAGTATTTCATAACCCTTCCGGTTGCCTAGTACTTTCCATTTTCTCAATGTATTGCTTCTATCCATTACCACCGTCTCTCCCTCAGTATCAGCCTGAATGACCATTTGAACGTTCCTTAATAATTTTCGACGTATTCCCGTCAATTTGCTCTCGCGAACTGACTATTGATATGCCACGATTCTCGAGATTATATCTCTTTTCATCTCCTGTTTGATCTCTACTGGATATTTCTCCAAGCTATTCACAAACTTTACACGAGGATATTTTAAAACGCTAGCTTCGTTACGAAGGGAAAAATTTAACCCCCTATTTCAGTAGATCCATAGTTTGGGAACCAAGTGAGACTGAGGATAAATTCACTACCTTATCTCCATCATCGTTTGTAGCAATGGATACTGTTAATGCATAAACATCATAATCTGATCGGATTGGCTCGATTCTTTGCTATTTTATCCCATATCTATCAATTGCTTGTCATGCCTTCTATCTATGAAATCCCGGAACCTCTGCGACTTTGGTTAGTCATGTCGTGGAGTTATTGAATATCCTCCGGAGTATGAACCATGCCTAGATCCTTCCTAAATCTAAACTTAATAACTGTGAACTTAAATAGTATGCCCCTGTCATTCTCGTAAGTAGCTTATAATTTCTGGATTGAGGAGTGATAAAATAATGCATTAATTGTGCCAGAATGATACTTCCCCATAGGGTTGCAAAACCCAGGAGCGATACCATAACGTTTGTAACAACTGAAATAGGTCAAGTGGCATAATTTACTTGCAATTGTCTTTTTGTTCGGCTGTAATCGGTGCATTGTTTCAAGCCTTCGTTCCATAGTTTAATAGAAGATATGAAGACCAAAGTGTTGTGGTCCTTAGTAGGGTCGCGGTCTCCTCTCCTCATATAGAAGCTGTTTGATCTTTTCTTCAAAGATTGGTCATATTGTCAGGGCAAGCTAGAAGAACGCACCTTGTCCTGATTCCATTGTAGCCATAAAACTTAGCACATAAACTACTAGGCCATAGGAAGTCAACGACTTGGCATTATGGATATAAGCACGATAGATACGGCGGAGAATAGAGCTGACTGGTTATTAGTAAACGTGTTTGATCACAGATGTGGTATATGAAGTAAAGGCTTGGCCATGAGATTTACCTCATGTGCACATGCTGAACGGTATTAAGGTGATCTAGAGCCTCATGCTAGTTTCCCATACAGCTTGAGAAACCAGAATTTGGAGGCCTGCTCACTGAGGCGGGAGTATATGCATTAATAAAGGCTTGAGGCAGAGTATAGAACATAATGTCTCGAGTAGTACGGATATGGTGACAGTGATCAAGTGAAATTACTGAACCAAAGAGATAAGAGAAGGATCCTATATGGCAAGGTGAAGACTCTGATAGGATCTATGGGAAAAGTATTGCGGATTGATAGGGCAGGATGAGGGAGACGGCGGCGAGTATGAATAGGCCTCATTAAATATGCTCAAAAGGGCACAAAAGAACCAGGTTTAAATAGGGAAGTAATAAATTGGCATAGTGAAGGAGTGCTACGAGGATATAGGGTAGGTGAATACACTAAAACAGAAGGAGAGATACCACAATTCTTTGGTAGACAATTGGTCAGAGGAACGTTTTAAATTGTCTCTGACGATTTGTAGTGTGATATTAGAAGTGGCAAGGCTCACGGACGATGCCGACTACGATACCGGTGAAACGTCTGGGAATGTACTGAATCTAAGGTCTAACTGAAAATTATCATGCGTAGTATGAAATCCTGACAAGGGGCGTTCCACTAGGTCTACCTGACAATACGGCCAAGTTGCGTATACAAGGTGAACAACTTATATGATTTTAGTATGGTGCAGTTAAAGTGTTTTTAACTTTTCTTCCTAAAAACTACTATCATATAAATGGAATTACTACTAACGAAGTAAATTGCGGTCACAAAGTTCTAATTTTCCTCATCGACAATTTTCCAGACATGTGATAAAGGAGAGACCTAGGTTGCTATGAAAATGACATTTTGGATACGATAGTTTGACAATAGTTTGACTATTTTTGTTTATATTTATTTGTGCATTTTACGTATATTTCTCATAGATCAAGTCAGCCATACAAATATTAAGAAAATACCTGACAAAAATGAGCCCTAAACAAGTTATTCTATTTTAGAAGGGAGCGCAGATGTAAATTAGGAATTTTGGCATCGAATCACTTTTATAACTATCTTTCCTTTTATGGTCAAGATTGTCATGTTATTTAATAAGACCATGAGCAATAGGCCCACTTCGTTACAATTACTAAGGTAATTATGCATAAGCGTAGCATACAAACTTCACATTTTCTGCCAGGTTCCATGAAGTGCTTCCGTTGTGTCATCCGTTTCTTCCAGACCCATACCCCATTCCGCCCCAACTGTGATGAGCTTGAGGTTTTTAGTTATCTGATTCAGTAGTAGTAATTGTTTGACCTTGTTTTCTCAACTTGGTAATGTTGGCAAGAAGACCTAGAGGAATGTTTCATGTCCGAAGTTCATAATATGCATAATAATTTCCAGAGTTGAAGCGTAGACTTGGTACGCGTTTTTATGAGTAAAAATTGAGTGTGAATAATTCCTTAATGAGTTATTGTGGCATGGCTCATCAGTGCTAAGTAAAAGTTGGTTGGAGGGAAAACATTAATTTATATCACTGGAAACGAAAAATGATTACCAAAGAGGATTGGGTCTATGATTGAACCATACATCTATTGGCTAAAATTGGAGCTAAACACCATCTTGAGGCTAAAACTCGTGTTTTCTCCTGTAAGTTATCAATGTAGATAAAATATCTAATAAGCATAACTAAGTTAGTCAATCTAATGATTGAGGCTATGCCTAAATTTTTACCTAAGTCCTGCAGCATTTTCTTCTTTCCTCCCCTTAACTATCACTACTCCAACTTAATCTGTGCTCAACTATGTCATTATTTAGCCTAATTTTCCTTATAATGCAATTAAGAATAATATTCTTACAAAGTGCATGGCTGTCGATTAAAGGAGAAATGTTTAATTCAATATCGTACTTAGTCTATTCTTGTAACCCATCTGATAAACTTATAGGTTCTACTAATATTTCGTCCTTGAAGTTTTTAGAGTCATCAGAACAAAGTTCATGACTTTGGGTAGGACCCTTTTAATAAAAAATTCTAAAAATGTTTCCGACAGATTTTAAACTTTCTTATATAGGCCATCCTTTTCTTTAACTTCTTTCGATGATACTTTCTTGTATTCCCTTAAGATAATCTTTCTTATCGTATATATATCTTACCTGTTTAAAGATTATCATACAACTAATCTGCCCTTATTTCATTCCTAAGAATGTTCAATGAACTAAGAGCCTCAGACAAGATTTGCCTGAATCTGGACTTATTTGTGATTAATGTATGCAAGTCACACATGACACATGCCCAAAAGATCAGATTAAGTCATAAAAGGCATATTTGGTTTAAAAATAACAAAAGATATCTGGCTAATTCTATGTAAATAGCAAATATTCAAAAAAGAATGTGCTTGACTTACCTGGCCATCATCTTCTTAGTCTTTGTATGAAATAACCAAATCTGAAAAGAGATCAAACTCTACGTATTTCGTATATATGGATAAAAACAGGTTATATAAGAATCGTTTATTTATTTGTTCTTACATGGCTTTTCATTTCGAAGGAATAGTTGGATGTAAGGAATTCATATATTGGTTTAACTGTAAACCAAAAAGGATTGCAATGTAGCAGTTAAGACTAAGATCCAATCAGGCTAGGTTGATTCAAATACTGAAGGCTGAGTTTTCCTATAATTTGAAGAGCTGGCCTCGCGATACCATTGAATTTCACTTAGCCCTGCCTCCCAAAAGGCTATCTAGTCGTCAACACTCCCGGCGGGGTTCGATACTTGGTCGTGAGTAATGCGGCGACATTACCATTGTCACATGTTCCAGTGGACCACAAGGCAGATTCAATTATCAAAGCAAGCCAGGCCTCTCTTAACTCACATTTATAATGGGATTGTCGGTTAAACAATCATATTTCGTTTATATGTAGGTTTTTTCGGAGCTATAAACAAAAATGTGTTTGCCATTCCAAGAGACGACGTTGTAGTAAAGATTGTTGGGTTCGCGAATAAATCCTCGGCTTACCGTCTTGTGACCCCGATGAACCTAAGCTAGGCTTTCATCAATATTGTGATAAACATCGTCAGAGCAAGAATCCATACTTTACCAAAAAGCGCACAAACTACCATAAGCCAAGAAAATAATGATGGCATTCATAGCTCAGAACTCACTCAGGCCGTAGTTCAGACTGGTGCGGGCAGCTATCTAGTACATTTATATGAGCTCTACTCATATCATTGTGAGAAAATTATACTAACAGTCCGTCAGTATCTTAAACGAAATAGGGTGAATACACCTCATATTAATGATTTACGAGTAGTCTCGAAACTCTACTTACATACGAAAAATAGTACATTTTATGAGGATTGAAATACTATATCTCCTGATTGTTTGTTTCAATTTAATGAAAACTTTTAAGGCTACCAACAGGAAACCGCATTTGTTCATAATCGAGCCTTCGAAGTTCAAGGATAGTGCAAAAACATTTATAAATTTCACTGGCTATGACAAGACTTTATCTATCCTATACTTGGTTGATGTGCCAATATGGTGGTTAATCATTGCT